GCCATGGCCCCAGGAGCCATTAGAAGTAGACAAATATTGCGAGTAGCCAAGCTGAGGTCCATCCAACTTACTAGAGAGGCCGTGAGGGTCATGAAAAGAGCTTTGGATTTAGAGTGGACAGACCTGGGCCCAGTGTCACCCCTGATGCTTCCTTGCGGTCTGACCACAGACCAGTCACATCATTTCTTTGGGCCTTGGTTTCCTTACCTGCAACATGGGGAAATACCTGCAGAGTCTCACCTCTAGAGGATCTCCCATTTTTCAGACAAGGAAACTGAGGCCCAGAAAGAGTAACCTACTTGCCCAACACCACACAAGTAACAAACGGGAGAGGCAGAATTCGAACCTTTGACACCAGATCCAGCACCCTTTCCCAGGCACCATATTGCCTACTTCTGTGGAGGAGGAGGAGACATGAACTGTACCTTAAAGGAAGGTGAGGATTCTGAGAGTTGAAGATGGGAAAGCAGGACCTCCCAGTCCTGGAAGAAGTGAAGGTGAAAGCTGAAGGAATCAAGGCAGGACCAGGTCCTGAATTCACAGGGCAGCTAGGCCAGTTTGAGAGGAATATGGAGCCCATGCAGTGGGATTCTATGAAATAAAGCCAGTTGGCGTGGAGGACTCCGTACTTCACTCTAGATGTAAGCCAGAGCCCTTGAATGTCTGAGTCAAGATAATTTCGGCAACTCCACGGAGGCTGGATGGGGGAAGTAAGAGTCGGGAAGCGGGGAGGTCAGCTAGGAGGCTTTTGGAGTTGTTCAGAGCAGAGGTGATAAGGGCCCGATCCAGGGTGGGGGCAATGAGCTTGGCGCCAAGGGACGGATAGGAGCTATGATAAGCAGGTAGCTGTGTCTGAACTCGGCTTCAGAGGAAGAGCCATGAGTGGCTTGGAGATTATGAACATGGCTGACCGTGAAAACTGCACCTCTACTACAAACAGGGTGGTGTTGAGGACAGGGGAGGTTTTGAGGGGAAGGATGATGACGTAAAGTTTGTTTCAGCTGGTGGAGATCTGCCAGTGTGCCGATGATGATAGGTCACTGGAGTTCAGGGGACAGAGTGAGAGAGCTGTCAATCAGGATGCAGGTAATGCCAATCAATAATCAAAAATCATTTCTTTCTATTATCAAGATATGACAAAATGAGAAAAAAAATTTCAAGTGCTTTGCAAAAACAAAACAAAGCAAAAACCTCCCTCAAACTCCCAAGGTTCTACACGTTAGCTATTATAATTACTCATACGCCTCCCTCACTTGTGACAAGCTAGGACAATTCCCCCTTTCCCTATTGTTTCATCATCCAGCAGAGTATCACATTATCATCTCAGACAGGTAAAGGGACTTGCGTTTGGTCATACAGCTCAGGAGGGTCAGAGGCCAAAATTTGAACTCAGGTCTTGCTGATTTTGAATTATATTGATCCACAAGAGTTCTCTAGTTCCAATTCCTAGCTCTGTGTGTGTGAGTGTGTGTGTGTGTGAATTCATACTGAAAATTAAGAGAAATAAATCTAGGCAACTCACCAGCAAAACAATCAATTTCTTTTCCCCAAGAAAAGCACTTCCCTGAAATATCAATCAGACAAAACAAAAAATGGCCCTAGAGGATCCTCGGACTACTTTGGAGGTCATTTTTCAGCCTTCAGTCAGCCAGTCAAGAAGCAAGTATTGAGCATCTACTGTGTGCCAGACACTCTGCTAAGCACTAGGGGTACAAAGAAAATCCCAAACAGTCCCTGACCTCAAGAAGGTCACATTCTAATGGGAGAGATGAGAAAACAACTCCAGATATACAAGACACACACAGGGTGAATTGAAGGTGATCTCAGCTGGGAGGCTCCTGGTCAAAGGTGGGATTTTGGCTGGGATATGAAGGAAACCAGGGAAGCCAGTGGACCGCCTTAGGCAGGAAGAAGTATGAGCTTTCCAGGCACGAAGGCCAGCCAGAGAAAATGCCAGGAGCTGGGACAGTCATGGGACATGGAGTCTTTTTCCAGGAAAAGCCAGGAAGCCAGTGTCTCTGGATGGAAGAGGACCTGGTGGGGAGCTAGGCCTAAGAAGACTGGAAAGGTGGGAAGGGCTCCAGTTAAGGAGGACTGTGAAAACCAAACAAGGGTTTATATTGAGCCCTGGAGGTGATGGGAAGCCCCTGAAATTTATTATTCATTCTCTCTCTCCCTCTAAGACGCTCTATGTGGTTTTCTGCCAGATTTACTTCTTTCCCTACCTGTGGATCTGGCCATCTCCCTCCTCTGTGCCAAAATCATTCCCAGCTCCCTGCTGCCAACAGAGCAGAGTTCAGACTCCTTTCCTTAGCATCAATCAATCAACAAGCATTCATTAAACTCCTACTGCCAAACCAGGCAGCCCTGGGCATTGGAGCACAAAGAATGAAACAATTTCTGCTCACAAGGTGCTTTTTTCCTGATGGGGAGACAAGTAAATATGTAAACAAATACAGCGCAAATAGAAAGTGGGAAAAATACACACCTACAATCTAGTGTTAGTGGCCCCCCCCCTCATTAACTCTAGTTAAATTGGTCCATTCTCTGGGTCTTGTCATAAGCCTTATCCTTTCCTCAGCTTGTCCTGTGTGCCTGGCATGCCCTCTGTTAGCCTTTGCTTGTTAAAGCCCAATTCCAGTCCTGCCTCCTCCACGAAGACTTCCCTGATCCTCTCAGTCAATAAGAGACTTCACCCAAACACTCTCTGAGACCCTGGAAGGCAGTGTAGCCCTAGTGGATAGCAAGCCTCCAATTACCCCAGACCCTGGTTCCAGCCCACCCTCTGATTCGTACTAGTGTGCCATAGGCCAAAGTGGCCACTTGAGCAGGGAATAGAGTACTGGACTTGAATCCAGAAGAGACATGTTCAAATTCTGTCTCAGATGCTTCCTAGCTCGGGGATTGTGGGGTTAATAACAGCTAACACAGTTACCAACCTTCCTCAGGGGGTTCATGTGGGGGTGAAATGGGATAAGATAGGATGCAAACATTACAGGGATCTATAGATGTTAGCCATTGCTATTATCTGCATTGGTAGACAGCTTCCTTCTAAGGAAAATCGGGGTGTCCTCACAGTAGTTCAGCTACTTATTCCTGAATCTTATTCGCTCATTTGGCAGAGACCTGATCGTTCTTAAAGCTGAACCCTGGCACTGTGGGGGTTTAACAGACCTTTGCTGACCCCTAATATACTGTAAACACCCCAGGGCATCCATCTGTTTTTGTTTTGTCTGTGTCCCCAGCATCTAGCCCCCCACCGCTTTCTTCCACACCTGGCTTTCTTCCACACCTGGCGTGCTCCTTGGGGTGGATAGATTCTAGGATTTGGGCAGAAGAGTGTGGAAATTCCCAGAGCCCTTTCCAGCGAGTTGTTTCCTGGATGGGAAGAGTGTCTTTTTCATTGGTGTAGGATCTAGGAAAAAATCCTACAAGGGAAGTGACGGTTGGATGGGAGAAAAGAGAACAGGGCAGACCTGCGGCCGTTTGGGGGAGAGCTGGAGGAGGGGGCTGGATGCACCCCGAGTTTATGGTCCCAGAGAGTTGCCTGGCCTCACTTCCTATGCAATGGCTGGCGCTGTGCTAAGCCCAGAGGCTACACATCTTGGCAGAGTTCCTGTTCTCAAGGGGCTTACAATCTAATGGGGGAAGAGCACACCGAAAAGGGAGATGGTAAAGGAGAGGGGGAGGAGATGGTACCCGCCTGCAAGTGGGCCACGTATAAAGATATTGTGTATCTTTCTATATATACATACAGACATATATTTGCATATTGTCTTCCTTATTAAACTAGAACGTGGGTTCCTCGAGGGCAGGCGACGAGGTTTTGCCTTTTTTTTTTTGTTTGTTTGTTTCCTCGAGACTTACCAAAGCGCCTTTCTGTGAGATTTTAATAAACGCTTGTTGACAGACTAGGACGAGATGCATTGTTATCCCGGAGCGCCATGGTGTGTAAATCGAGTGCAAGCTTGACAAGGCCAATCCTGGGGGAATGCCTCGCATGCTAAGGCACGTGAACGAGTTTGAATGAATGAAGATGGGGCATCCCCTGGGAGAAGGCTGAAGGACCGAGGATTCTCCAGGACGTGTGCACGTTCCTTTTGCACCAAACCCGGGGGAAGGGGCTCCCTGGGCGCGGCCCCGAAGATCGCCCAGCGCACGACTCGGTCGGGTTGCGGGCGTGCACACGATTCACCCGGGGGCTTTCTGCAGGACGGTCCTCCCCGCAGCCGCCGGCTGCCGGGGCCCGTCTGCCCCGTGGCTCTCTCCGCCCCGTCTTGGGGGGCAGGGGCGGGGGAACCACAGACTGCATGCGTAGCACGTTCTCGGAACGAGCTCGACCTCTCCGAGCCTCCGGACCCCCGCCCGGGGCAACCGCCCCCAGCCCCAGGGGGATCCTCCCAATGCATTTCTAGCACCACGGTCTAGAGGACCCGCTGCCCCAGCCCCGATCCCCAGGCTAGACTGTAAGCTCCCCGAGGGCAGGCTCTCTTGCCTGCTTTCTCGGTTAATAAATGCACGCCGCCTTCTGCCCTCCTCGGATGCTTGGCTAACTTTGGGCGGCTCGCGCGACCTCAGTTTCCCAACCTGGAAAGAGAAGGGTGGCAAGCCCCACGTGGTCGCCTGGAAGGAGTGACCTTGACCGAGCTCGCCACGTGCGGGGGGGGGGCCACCCTCGCCCGGCAGGGCTCGGCCTTCCCGGGCTGGGGGGGGGGGGGGCGGGGGCGCGGGCTGGAGGGGGCAGGTGTTCTCGGCTCCGGGCCTCCCCGCCCACCCCCCCCCCCACCTCCACCGCCGGGCCTCCCGCCCCGCCCTCCCCGCTCCGCTTCGCGCCCGCCGGCGCGCGCTGCCCCCTGGGAGTTGTAGTCCGCGCCGGCGCCGTCACGGGCGGAGCGGCGTCGGCCGCCTGCGCTTCCCGGCGTGCTCCGCGGCGCCGGCGGCTCCCGGATGTGTGTGCGGCGCCGGAAGAGAAGGCGGTCTCTCTCTCGGCCCGGCCATCTTGTGGGGACGAGCTGAAGCAGACGCCGTCGGCTCGGCGCGGCCCGCTGCAATCCGTGGAGGAACGCGCCGCCGGGGCACCATCATGCCCGGCCACCTGCAGGAAGGCTTCGGCTGCGTCGTCACCAACCGGTTCGACCAGCTATTTGACGACGAGTCGGACCCCTTCGAGGTGCTGAAGGCGGCCGAGAACAAGAAGAAGGAAGGCGGCGGCGGCGGCGGCGGCGGCGGGGGCGGCGGCGGGCCCGGGCCCAAGAGCGCGGCGCAGGCCGCGGCCC